GGAGACAAGGACATAGATAAGGACAAGAGCAATAACAAGTTCGAACCGAAGGCGAGGGACAACCCGAGTCACCCTCGGAAGTGGCGCAGTCACTGCGAGAAGCCGAACCACGTCAAGGACGACTGCCGCAAGTTCACGAAGGAGAGCGAGGCCAAGGCGGAAGCCAAGAAGGAAGCCAAGGATGAGAAGAAGCAGCGGCGGGCCGCGGCAGCAGGACTGGCCGCCGGCGGAGGCGCACTACCTGCAGGAGCTCCTCCTCCGCCTGGGTTCGACGGTCCAGGGCCACAGCCGCTCACGCAGCACACGGTGTACGCGACGATGCCAGCGCCTTCGGGATCGGCTTCGACGGCGAGCACGGCGCCGACAATGCCTCTCGGCATGCGCGGGATCAACGGCCTCATCGCGGAACAGGACACGCTCAAGCCGATATGCATCTTCGCCCTCTCGGCCAAGCCGCTGGGAGCGAGGGCGAGGTCGGCCGAGCCCAGCAGGGCGAGGCGCAACGAGAGCGGTGACAGCGCTCAAATCTCGGCAGCCCGTGGCGTCAGAGGAGTCACGATAGACTCAGGGGCCCAGATCACCGCGTTCCCCTACGACATGCTGAAGAGCAAGGGCTACACGCTGGCCAAGTCGAGCATCTCCAAGCTGCAGGCCATCGACGGCACGAAGGTACAGCACTACGGCAAGACGGACGTCAGACTGAAGACGGGCCAGGACGTGATCCAGATTTCGGCGGAGGCAGCGGGCGCGGAGTTCCCCGCGATGTCCACCGACGCGATCACGAAGCAGGGCAAGTCGGTCATCCATTCTCCACTGGGCGACTGGATTGTGGACAGTCCGATCTCGCCCCCGACGTCGGCCAACGCGATCAAGCTGATAAAGGATCGGGGCACGTGCTACCTGGAGTACGACGAGATGCTGGACAGCTCCGCCGAGGGCAAGCGCGCGGCACGGACGGCAAGCATCGGCGAGCAGAAGGGCGAGGGGCTGCACCTCAGCGCGGCTCGCAAGACCCTGCGCGCGCAGGTGCCGGCAACAGAGGACCGACAGCAGCTGCCGACTGTGCTCGGACCAGACCCCAGCGAGAACGTCACATTTCAGGCGAAGGCGCTCGCGGGACCTGGACAGCCCTCGGAGGAGGAGAGGCGAGCTCACGAAGCACGCCATCTTCCCTTCAGGCCGCGGCGCAGCGACTGCGTCATGGGCCGAGGGAAGGGCGCGCCCCACGAGGTGAGCTCAGAGCCCAAGGGTGACGACGAGTACCCAGTCGTGGAGATGGACCTCTTTTTCGTGGCCACCGACGAGATCGCGAGGAAGCACCCCGTGGTGGACGGCTACGTCGTAAAGGTCATCGACTTCAGGAAGCTGGAGACCAAGGAGCGCGGGGAGCTGCCCGCGATCCTGAACGTCGCGGACTGCAGGTCCAACGCCTTGGCCACGCTCTTCGGCTCCAAGCAGATCGGCGACTGCAAGTCACTCTTTGTGGCCAAGCTCATCGACAGCTGGGGGCGCACGACGGTGATTCTGCTCACGGACGGCGAGAACGCGATCGTCGCCCTGGCTGAGCAGGTGAAGAAGCTCAGGTCGCATTCCACGATAGTGCGTCAAGGCCCAGCGCACTCATCGAAGAGCATGGGGCGCGCGGAGGCCAGCAATGGAGCGGCGGCGGGGCTACTCCGTACGCTGCGGTTTTCCCGTGACCAAGCTCGGCTGCAAGCTCGAATTCTCGGGCCCCATCCTCGCCTTCCTCGCCGACACTGCGGGCTGGTACCTCACGAGGTTCCAGCCGAGGAGCCACGGAGGATCTAGCTACAAGTTCCTCTTCGGCCGAGAGTACGAGGGAGAAGTGGCAGAGATCGGCGAGCAGGTGTGGCATCGCATAGCGGCTCGCGTTGCGGCGGGCCAGGGCAAGTTCGAGGCACGCTTCGCGAAGGGCATCTGGGTCGGCAAGTCAGAGTTTTGACGACCAGCACTTGGTGGTGGACCTTCAGCGCGGCCTCCTGAAGGTGCGCTCGGTTCGCCGCATGCCCGAGGAGTTCCGCTGAAACGCCGAGCTCGTGAAGCAGATCGACGTCACCCCATGGGCCCCTGTGCCTGAGCGCGTAAAGTCGACCATCAAGAAATCCGCGTACATCACGGAGGCTATGAAGAACATGCATGGACCGACGGACAGCTGCCCGAAGTGCGTCTACGGGCGGGGCCAGCACAGCGAGCAGTGCAGGCAGCGCTTCGAGACCATCGCGCAGGAGAGGCTCGAGGCGAAGCTCCTGGAGGAGACCGAGGGCGGCGGCGCGCCTGGCACGCCAGCGATGCCAGGGCCAGCACCCCAGGCCTCCCCGCCAGGGCCTGCCGACCACTCGGCAGCGGCCTCAGGCTCGGCAGCGGCAGCGTCCTCGGCATCACCTACTGCGACGGCAGCGCCAGCGACGCCAGGGATCATCCCTGGTGTCGCTGGCCTAAGGCCCTGGAGAGAGACCCCGCGCCGGAGACCCTGGAGCCGAACAAACGGCAGAGGGTCGGAGCACTGGTGCAGCCACCCGAGGTCGTGGTCATCGCGGGCCTTTCGGTCTGCGAGCCGGCGGTCTGCGAGGGGGACGGCGACCAGGAGGTGGACCCGCTCTGGGGCCCGATTCCGTCAGGCCTCGAACGGTGTGAGGGCCTCTGCGAGGCACACGTGGGCTGCTGCGTCTTTCGGCACGACCATGACGGGCAGTGCGCGTGCAGGAGGCGTCTCATCGGCTGCGCCAAGAAGCTCAACCCCGACGCCGAGGTGGTCGCGAGCCTGCGCGCGCTGTGGTCGAACCGCGGGGCGCACGAGAACACCGACTGGAGCGTGGGCCCGAACGCGGCCGAGCCGACGGTGAAGGTCCATTACGATTATTACACTGGCGAGCCCCTCGACGAGCTGAAGTACCAGAAGGGCAAGGCAGACAAGATCCAGGCCATGGCCGAGTACGGCGTCTACAGCAAGACCCGCATCTCGGACTGCGAGCCTGGAGGCAAGCACATCGGAGGCTTCCCCATTGCGCACGAGAAGGCCGGGGAGGTGCGCTGGCGCTTCGTGGGGGCGGAGGTTGCCCACCAGCACCGCGAGGATAACCATCAGGGCACACCTCCACTCGCGATGGTTCGCGCGATCCTCAGCTCGGCAGCCAGCAAGCACGACGGCGACGGTCAGCACCGAAGGTGCACCCGCATCTGGGATGTCCTCAAGGTGTTCTTCGACAGCGACCTGCATGAGAAGATATACGCCCACCCAGGCAGCGAGCTCTGCGAGCGAGGCTTCTGTTGGGAGCTGCACAAGGCCTTGTGCGGACCCCGCTTGGCCAGCCAGCTGCGGGGTGAGAACGCGAAGGCCACCTCGGACGACGCTGGAGGCAAGGCGCTAAAGGGTGCCCCTGGCATGTTCTACTTCCCCCACCTCGGCGGCGACGGCAGGGGCACCGCGACGGGGGTCCACGGCGACGACTTCACTGCGGGGGGCCACGTCGCGACGCTCGACCAGCTGGACGACGTCCTGAGCGTGGAGTACGAGGTTACCTCATCGCCACCGTTGGGGCCTGGACACCCTGGAGTCGCCAGATACCTGAAGCGCGTCTGCGGCTACGTGGACCAGCTACCCGAGACGTTGTTGCCAGGCTTCTTCTGGCACGCTGATCCGAAGCACGCGGCGGAGATCACCAAGTTCGGATCCAAGGAGGGCGCCAAGGTAGTCGACGCACCCGGCGCCAAGGCGATAGGAGCACAGCTGCGCAGCGCGACGGACCCGATGCCCACGGCTGAGGCTCGTAAGACAGCATCGGCAGGAGGGCCTGCACTCTACCTGGCGGCGGATCGCCCCGACACCATGTTCTCGAGCAAGACCATCATGCAGGACGTGAGCAGGCCGAACTACCAGATGAACGCGAGGCTCAGGAGGCTGGCCCGCTACCTCGAGGGCCACCAGGTCCTGGTCTGGCGCTACGAGTTGCAGGACATGCCGAAGGTGCTGAGGGCCAATGGAGACGCAGATTGGACAGCGCCCACGGCGGTGGCGCGCAAGAGCACCTCGGGAGGCGTAATCAGGTTCGGCAATCACACCTGGGACTGCTACTCGGCCAGCCAGGCCACCCAGGCGCTGAGCAGCGGCGAGTCAGAGTTTTACGCCCTCGGCTCGATCGCGGCCCGAGGTCTGCAGATGAAGTTCTTCCTGAGCGAGATCGGGATCGAGATCAAGCTGGTGGTGGCCTCGGACGGCGCGGCCGCTCGCGGCGTGGCCCAGCGGCACGGAGTGGGCAAGGCACGCCACTTGGAGCTGCGCTACCTTTGGGTGCAGGAACGGCTTCGACTCCAGATGTTCGAGCTCGTGAGGGAGGACGCCCGCAAGATGGTGGCGGATATACTGACGAAGTACGCGGGCGAGGATAACATGGCCAAGCACTTGCACGTGCTGAACCTGAGGATGACGGGCACGGCCATGGTCCTCTCGACGCTCCTGGCGACTCCTAGCGCGGCGGCGACGTCGGAGCAGTACAGGATGGACGATGAGGGCGAGAAGCTTGGAGCGGGGCAGTCGGGGGGGATTTCCCTGGCTGCTGATGAGCTTGATCTTCGTGCTGTGCCTCATTGCCTACCTCGTCGGCTGGTACGTGGGCGGGCACAAAGTGACCTCCCAGACGGCTGAACAGGGCCCAAGAGCGGCACCGAAAAGAGAAACGACACAGCACGAGGACCCCATCGAGTCCAGGCAGCGGCCGCCCGAGGCATCGACCCCGAGGCCGACCGCCAGGAGGCTCGAGGAGGACACGAAGCCCAGGCAGGAGCCGCCAGAGGAGCGGACCGCCTGGAGGAGCTCGGATTACACCAGCGAGCAGAAGTACACGACACGCGAGGTTCACCGCCTGTACGAGGCCTACACCGTTGGCGAGCTGCGGGGCCTGCTAGTCGAGCGGAACGTGCGGCTCACAGAGGGCTACACCAGGAAGGGGTAGCTCGTCGAGACGGCCAGCGCGACCAGCCCGATGGAGATGCAGTTGGTGACCCAGATGACCAACGAGCTGAAGGACCACGGGATCGACGTGAAGTGGCAAGCTCTCATGCTGGCGAGCGGGCGCAGGATCAAGAATATGCTGGCCACCACCACGGAGGTGCTGAACTGCCTGCAGGAGCGCTACGTCTGATCAACGAGGCGCAGAATGCGGATGAGGGCCGTTTGCCCGCTCTCTGCGCCCGCGACCTTGAGGAGAGGTGATCGTCCTTAGTCAATTTCTGAGGGGGATGAGCCCGCGGGGCCCAGGAGGCCAGGTCGGAAGAGGTGGAGAGAGAGAAACTGCATGTCGTAATTTGGCTCAAGAAAAGAAGGCTGATTCACCTCTCTCCCCCAATACTTTCGGGGGGAAGCTGAAACAGGACCACCGGGACAACATTCCCAACCCTCCTGTGTTGGGTTCTCGTTTCGAGTAGAGCACTGTGGTCGAGTCTTCCTCCTCCCCCCCTCTTCTCTCCCGCTTCCTATCTCATCTTTCCTGCCCTCTGCCTCTATCGTCTATCGTGGGCTCCTGGGAGGAGGGACCTCGCGGCTTCCTGGGGGGCTGCGAAGTGTGAAATTGTCGCCGCGCCCGTGTGCTCTTGGGAGGTCAAATGGCGTGGAGTTGTTTGGAGATGCAGTTCAGACCTCGCGGCTCCTTGGGGGGCTGCGAAGTGTGAAATTGTCGCAACGTTCGCTTGCTCCTGGGAGTTCCAGCGGAGTGGAGTGGCACGGGCGGGGATCCAGTTAAGACCTCGCGGTTCCCTGGGGGGCTGCAAAGTGTGAGATTGTCGCCATTTTTGCGGGCTCTTGGGAGGTCCAGCGAAGTGGAGTTGTACGGGGGTCCAGTTGAGACTTCGAGTCTCCCTGGGGGGCTGCGACGTATGAGATTGTCGCCACTTTCGCAGGCTCCTGGGAGGTCCAGCGGAGTGGAGTTGTACGGGGATCCAGTTGAGTCTTCGCGGCTGCTTGGGGGGCTGCGAAGTGCGAGCTGGTCGTTATTTTCGCTGGTTCCTGTGAGGTCCAGCGGGGTGGAGTTGTACGGGGATCCAGTTGAGACCTCGTGGCTCCCTGGGGGGGGGGTACGAAGTGCGAAACCGTCGGCACTTTCATGGGCCTCTTGGAGGTCTAGCGGCGTGGATTTGTACTGGAATCCAGTTGAGACCTCGTGGTTCTTTTGAGGGGTTGTGTGTAAGAATGTCGCCACGTTCGTGGGCTCCTGGGAGGTCCAGAGGAGTGGAGTTGTACGGGGATAGAGGTGAGACCTCGCAGTTCCGTGGGAGGCTGCGAAGTGTGAAAGTGTCGTCGCTGTCGTAGGCTCCTGGGAGGTCCAGCTGCGCGGAGCTGTGCGGGTATCCAGTTGAGACCTCGCGGTTCCGTGGGAGGCTGCGAAGTGTGAGATTGTCGCCACTTTCGTGGTCTGCTGGGAGGTCCAGCGGAGTGGAGTTGTACGGGGATCCAGCTCGACGCTGTCGCATCGCAGGTCGCAGGGAACCGCTGCGCCACGCAACGCGTGGCGCTGTCTTTTGTCCGCGTGGCCTCCCATCCTCAGCTGCCTCTGGCCCGCCCGGCCACCTCCTGCGCTGGCCTCGCCCAGCGCGACGCGCTGCTGTAGAGCGCACGGCGCTGTTTTGTCCCGCGTATGTAGCGCTCGTACTGAGCATGTATGTCCCCCTTCACCTCCTCCGTATGTTTCTGCCTCTGTCCCTATCTTGCCATTGTTGCGCGTAGTTGTGTACTTTCGAGAACGCATGCGCGCTGCCGGTTCTTACACGTGTTTGTTGGAATTGAGCGGTCCCACATTTCTTCACCAAGTGTTTAGAAAATGTTTGCTGCGTCGCCCGGTTATGTCTGTATTGTTGTTTCTTCCTCTAGGAACACGCGCACCGCCAAGAAACGCATCGAACGCAGGCAGCGGTGCAGGTTCATCTCAGGGGCACTGTTAGGGAGGTGGGTTCGGGGGGGGCGCATCGATCCCCAACCGCCCAGTCATCCCCGAGAGGGGCCCGATGGCCCAGCCCGCCCAGGACCTAATGGATTTGCCATCGGGGGGCCATCGCCGCACTATCGGTCATGGATCGCCCGTTTCAGATCAACAGTTCCCCCCTCTAAGCTTCCCCCGAACGTTCCCTCTCGGGGAGGAAAGAACGCGCGCGCAAAGGAAACATCTAGCGCAAGCAGTTGCGCGGGCCGATCTGTGAGGAGGGGCTCTACCAGGAGGCCGAAAGCACACGAGTGCGGCCAGCCCGAGCGGGGGCTGGGTACACGTGTGGCCACCATGTGGCCAAGTGTCTTTCCAGTGCTCGGCCTATCCCTGGCCAGGGATGCTGGGCTTCCGCAGGCGTATCCAGGGCGCCGCCTCCGGATATGCCCCATGTGGGGCGAGGGGAAGAGCAGGAAGGATGAGGAAGTGGACGATGAGGGATGTGGAGGGGCTAAGAGGAAACAAGGGAGCCATGTGGGATGAACATATGGTAGGAGGAGGAGGAGGAGGAGCAGGAGGAGGAGAGAGCGAGTCAGTCCAAAAGAAGAGAAAATTTCGCTTGTTGTGCACTCCCCTCGCGCAACTTGCCTATAGTTCAGAATTCCACTGGGGCGCCAGGGTTTTTCCACCATCTCTGCCTCAGGAAGCAACTAGCATGAGTTTGTCCCAGTCGTGTCTGCCCACCAGCCCCTGTGCCCTACACTGTCCGATTTGTGTCTGGAAATGCTGAGCCAGCCCTGTCGTTCATCTGTTTCGACAGCTTGGGCGGCTTCCAGGCCATAGAGCACCGCTTGTCAGTGATGCCACGTTCCTGGACGAGAAAAGGACGACGACGACTTGAAGTGCGCAGTGTCGGATCAACCACCGCGTCCAGATCAGGCAGCCGCCTTCGCGTTGCAAGAGTGAGTGCGCTCACAATGACAAAGAGTTGTTGCCTGTTGCAGTGAGGGTCGCACTAAGGTCGAGCCTGGAGAGGAGATCGACGACTCCTTGTGAGCGCGGGGCGCAGCAGTCAATACCACCTGTCCTGACGTGGTGGGCAGTCCACCTCCACCCAGGCATCCCTGTAGCTTTCTTCTCCGGGCAGCCCAGAAGGCTGCTGACGCGATTGCTCGACGGCCTCCCACATTCGTCGCCACCCCCAGCCGTCCAGGAACAGGGCGTGTGTGTGTGTGTGCGCGCGCGTGTGCGTGTGCGTGTGCGTGTGCGTGTGCGGGTACGGGTGTGCGTGTGCGCGCGTGTGTGTGTGTGTGTGTATGTGTATGTGTATGGGTGTGTGGTGTGTGGGTGTGTGTTTGTGCGTGCTTGTGTGTGTGTGTGTTTGTGTGTGTGTGTGCGCGTGCGTGCGTGCGTGCGTGCGTGCGTGCGTGCGTGCGTGCGTGCGTGCGTGCGTGCGTGCGTGCGTGCGTGCTTGTGATTATGTTTGCGTTTGCGTTTGCGTGTAAACATGTGTGTATGTGCGACTGTGTGAAATTGTGAATGTGTTAATGTGTGTGTGACTGTTTGTGTATGCGTGAATGTGATTGTGTGGGTGTGTGGGCGTTTGGGTGTGTAGGTGTGTATGTATGTGTGTGTGCTTGTGTGTGTGTTTGCGTGTGGGTGTTGGTGTGGGTGCGGTTGTGGGTGTGGGTGTGTGGGTGTGTGGGTGTGTGGGTGTGTGGGTGTGCGGGTGTGCGGGTGTGCGGGCGGGTGTGCGGGTGTGCGGGTGTGCGGGTGTGCGGGTGTGTGGGTGTGTGGGTGTGTGGGTGTGTGGGGGTCTGGGGGTTTGGGGGTCTGGGGGTCTCGAACGAGCCAGAGGGCTCCGTCCACCCCCACCCGCCCTCCCACAACATAAGAAGCAAGTGCGTCGCGTCTGACGCCTGTCGCACATCTTATATCGTGGGCGGCTAGACGTTCAGCGCGCGACATGAGCTTCGTCTTATTCCTGCCGCGTATTGAGCAACGTCGACGAGAAACAAAACCGCGCGCGATGTACGCCGCGCCCCGCTCTGGTCCCTGATGTTGCACCGTCGGCGGCAACATGTCCAGCGCGCGAAGTGCGCCGCGTCTCATTTCAGCCACGCGTGTTGTACCGCCAATCGTTTCGCTCCTGCCGCGCGTGGATGAGGGGGAGGAGGAGGAGGAGGAGGAGGAGGAGGAGGAGGAGGAGGAGGAGGAGGAGGAGGAGGAGGAGGAGGAGGAGGAGGGGGGGAAGGAACGAGAGACGGAGGGAGAGACTGAGGAGGAAGAGGAGAATGCCTCTTGGGAATTCGCGGGGCGTCCTGGGAGCTTTCTTGTATACGCTTGAGGGCCTCTTGGGTGTATCTTCGGGGTTGGAACATTGTCAACACAAGTAGGTGCGAACCTCACAATCATTCAAACACCGCATGCAAATCAATAGTTGTGTTGCCCCCCCCAGGACCTCCTGGACGCCTTTTTTCGACCTCTCGGGGGTCTCCTGAGGCACTTGTTTGAACCGCACTTGCTTGAGGCATTATGACATGCCGCCCGCCCATTTCCTCAACCCGATGGGCCGCAGCGTCGACGACAAGAAAGTCCACGTTGACAAGCAGGCGTCCCCGCGCGGTGCGCGCCGCGTCCCATTCCGCTACGCGGTTCGCAGCGCCGACGGGGAGAATGTACATGTTGGCAAGGAAAACGTCGACGTTGCAGTGTTTTTTATTTGAAAAGGTGGGACGGGGGGTCCCGCGTAGGGTTGGCCAGGCTTCCGCGCGCGAGTTGCGCCGCGTCCCATTCCTGCTGCACTTTTCAGCAGCGTCGCCGACAAGACAGCCCATGCTGACGAGGAGAACGTTGGCTTTGTATTGTTTTTTTGATGGGTAGGACGCGGCCACCCGCTTAGGGCGTCCCAAGCGATGGTCATTCCGTCCCGTTCCTGCTACACGACTCGCAACTCGACGACACGCTGGCGAGAAATAAGTTAAATGTGTATTCATGGTTGACAGTTAGGACGGCGGGGTTGCCATCGGCCGGCTAGGTGGGAATCTGGGGTCGTTAAACCATAAGAAGTAAGGATGGGGGTGGGGGTGGGGCGGGGGTCAAGTTAGCCAGCTCGAACGAGCCAACAGGCCCCGTTCACTCCCACCCGCCCTCCAACAACATAAGAAGCAAGTGCGTCGCGTCCGACGCGCGTCGCTCATCCTATATCGCGGGCGGCTAGACGTTCAGCGCGCGACATGAGCTGCGTCCTATCCGTGCCGCGCATTGAACAACGTCGACGAGAAACAAAACCGCGCGCGATGTACGCCCGCCAGGCTCATCAAGCCCGACGGGCCGCAGCATCGACGACAAGAAAGTCCATGTTGACGAGCGGGCGTCCCAACGCGCGTTCCATTTCCGCTACGCGATTCGCAGCGCCGACGGGGAGAAAACTCATATTGGCAAGGAAAGCGTCGACGTTGCGCTGTTTTTCTCTGATAGGTGGGACGGGGGGTCCCGCGTAGGGTTGGCCAGGCGTCCGCGCGCGATGTGCGCCTCGTCCCACTCCAGCTAAACATTTCGCAGCGTCGACGACAAGGAAGATCATGCTGGCGACAAAAACGTTGACTTCGCATTGTTTGTTTGATGGGTGGGACGCGACCACCCGCTTGGGGTTACCCAAGCGATGTTCATTCGGTTCCGTTCCTGCTACACGCTTCGCAGCTCGACGACATGTTGGCGAGAAACAAGATGAGTTTGTATGGTTCTTGAGTGTTCGGACGGGTTTGCTATCGGCCGGCTACGCGGGGATGTGGGGGTGTTTTATCATATAGAGGAAAGAATATGGGGGGGTGCGTGGGTGGGTGCGTGGGTGGGTGGGCGGGTACGTTCGTAGGTGCGTGGGTGCGTGTGTGCGTGGGTGGGTAGGTGGGTGCGGGTGGTTGTGTGTGGTTGTGTGTGATAGTGTGTGTGTGCGTGTGGGTATGGGTGTGTGTAGTTGTGTTTATGTTTGAGTGTGTGTTCGTGTTTGTGTGTGTGTTTGCGTTGGTGTTTGTGTTTCGGTTTGTGCTTGCATTTGTGCGTGAGCGCGTGCGTGCGTGTATTTGTGTGCATGTGTGTGCGTGTGTGCGTGCGTGCTTGCGTGCGTGCGTGCGTGCATGTGTGGGTGTGGTTGCGTGTGTGTGTGTCCTTGCGTGCGTGCGTGCGTATGGGTGTGCATGTGCGTGTGCGTTAGCGTGTGCGTGTGCGTGTGCGCGTGCGCGTGTGTATGTGTGTGTGTGTGCGTGTGTGTGTGTGTGTGTGCGTGTGTGCGTGCGTGCGTGCGTGCGTGTGTGTGTGTGTGTGTGTGTGGATGTGTGGGGGGGTCCTGTGCGTGCGCGCGCGTGCGCGTGCGGTTGCGCGTGCGGTTGTGTGTGCGCGCGTGTGCCTTTGTGTGTGGTGTGTGTGTGTCTGTGGGTGTGCGTGTGCGTGTGCGTGTACGTGTGCGGTTGTGTGTGCGTGTGCGTGCGCGTGTCTGTGTGTGTGACTGTGTGTGTGGTGACTGTGTGTTTGTGTGGTTGTGTGTGTGTTGTGTGTGTGTTGCGTGTGTGTGTGTGTGTTCTGTTTGTTTGTGTCTTCCTGATGACTTTTGCTTCTGCATCAGATTCATGCCCTAGGCCGGCCTTCCTCACAGGGTTTGTTGGCACCCGTATTTTGCATGTCGGGGCCACCCAATACCTTGGGACAGGTTGCCCGCGTCCTGAGGGGAGGGCCCGTGCGAGGAGGAGGAGGAGGAGGTGAAGCAGGATATGTGTTGCCCGAGACTTCCTCAGCTTTTTTGGTTTGCCAAGAGGCTGCGAACATTGGTAAAACTTTTTGCGCCGAAAGAGTTAGCGTCTCCTGATGTCTTGTTCACGAGGGTCCCTGGCCCTGGCCTTTCTTTCGAGATCAGCGGTATAGCGCAGCAGTGCCAGCGGGGCGTCGATGCATGCTCGTTCGACGCTGCAGACCGCGAGGGCGGATCAGTATACACCAGCATCCAAGGAGAACCCGACGTGATTCTCGCAACCTGAAGGTCCCCATGGCGGGCCGGCGGCGTCAGCCTCTTATCATGATTTCCCAGTCTGTGGACCCTACATGCCTTCATATCTGCGCACTGCCACGTGTTCGTCTGCTCCTGAGTGCTGAACAGCTCAACAGCTCCCTCTATCTGCCCCTGTCCTGTCCCTCACCCGCGTGGAACATATTTGTAGTCGTCCATGTTGGGACAGTTCTTTCCCAACCCCTTCTCCGACTGGGTCTAATCATAGAATGGGCGAGCACTCTGAGGACCCCATCTCCATCCGCCCACGCAGTTCCTCGGACGCTAAGTACGGTGCGTGCTTCCGCCGAAGCTAGATGCGTTTCGCTTTGGGTTGTGGCGTCGCAGTTGCCCTTTGCTCCACTTGTCATCCGCTTCATCTGGACGATGCTAGCATTCTGCTTGGGAGTTGAACGCGCGAATGTTCCGTTAGATGAAGGGATAGCGCCTCAATGCAGGACTACCCGACGGGTTTTCTCCAGTAGTCTTATTGTGTGCCTTTCCGTCCGGCCTAATCTCTCCTCTCAACCTTCTCTCCAGCTCACAGAGTTATACTGCTGAAGCGGACGTGCGGGCACCAGGTTGTGCACAGTGGCTTGGAGCGCGCCAGCATCATCACCAGCAGTCGCAATCATTCATAGCAGTTGCTATTCGCCACCCGTGTGGATTTGACGCATTGCCTTCATTAGCAGGGGGAATGGTGGTGTGGCAGCAGCGCAGTCGGCGCGTCTTGCCAAGGACTAGGTTTGGTCCACAGGAGGCCCGATATTCACTAGGCCTTGCTGTAGGACATGATCAGAACATCTCGCATCAGCAACTTGAGACAATGCATTGCTACTTGTCGGGATGGGGTGCCCCTGGCTGCTATGCGTCCTTCAGTGTTCTGGTCCGGACAGTCGAGAGCCTCGCCTCCACCACAAGCGGGGCCCCGTCAGCGCTGCGCTCTCGCACGTCGTCCGCCTGCTTTGCCGCTCTGCAGTCCTGGTGTGCTCGGTGCCTCCGCCCAGGATGCCAGGGACGCACGTGTGGCCGTGGTCTTCACCGAATGCAAGCGCTCAGTTCCTTGGGAGGGTAACGCATGGCGCACTGAAAAAGTTAGCGCTCGGCATGGAGATCAATCGTTCATGCGCACTCTCGCGAGAATTGGTTTGCAACAGTTGCCGCAGCCATGTTCATGAAGATGCGTCGCGGGGATGGGTGGGTGTGAGGGTGGGTCAGCACCTCTGCGGTGCGAAGAGGTGTGCCAAGTTATCGCCGCACGTTTATTGCGTCTGTCTAGTGCGAGCGCATCGTTCTGAAGCGGGACACGCACGGCGCGGCCAGCACACATGTGGCCGGATGTCTCTCCAGCGATCGGTCCTTCTGTGGCCGTGTGGGCTGGGCTTCCGCGGGAGTGTCCAGCGCATGGCCTCCGCGTGCTCCACACGAGCCCAGACACGTGTGCGCTCCAACTCCATGCGCTGCACACCCGAGCCCCGCAGAGGCGGGGACGAGTGACAGGGGGGGGGTGGGCTCCGGCTGCCTGGCCAGGGGCACGGCGGGGCGCGGCGCCGACGCAGCCGTCGACGACCGCGCCCGCCGCGGGGGCTCACCGCAGCCCGCCGCGGGGGCTGCGTCTTGGGCTCTCGGCGCGGCGTGGTGGGCGCGTCGCAGGGCGGGCCGCGGGGCGGGCGGAGCGCGTGAGCCGGCGGGCGGCTCGCAGGGCGGGGCGCGGAGCGGGCCGCGGGCGGCTCTCGGGGCGCGGCTCGGGGCGGGTCGCGGGGAGGGTCGCGGGTGTGAAGCAGTGGCGGAGCGTCCAGGCTGGCTTCCAGGCCCACCCAAGGATGTTCTAAGAGCCTTTTGGGGTCTGCGCGAAGTGTTCTCAGAACATTTCTGGCCGAGACTGTCTTGTTTCAAGACGTCGGGTTTGTGTTCTAAGAGCATTGTTCTTGTTTTTGGGACATCTTTGGGTTCTAGGAGCATTTCGTGGTAGGCCTATAGGAATGCCGGGACGGTCGGTTCCTGCTCAAGGGCGGGTCTTGGGTAGGGTCTTGGGTAGGTCGCGGGGTGGGACGTGAGGCCCCCAGGGTCCTCCTGGGGGCCTCTTCGGGGACTCTTGGGGGGCCTGGTGGCGGTCTCGGGGGTCATCCTTGGGCGGGGTGCTCGGAATGCCAGTTCGCGTTCCCCCTCTCAGGGCCCCCGTGGGCCGTCTCGGGGGCCTCTTGGGCCGTCTTGGGGCCCTCTGTGGGGCATCTTGGGTCGTCTTGGGGCGATCTGGGGGTTTGAAGCGTCGGAAGCCCCAAAAGGCAAGGCCGCTAAACTGTGCCAAAAGCATATAGAAAATACATAGTTGTTGCTTCTTGGGGCCATCTTGGCGGTTCTCTCTCGGGGTTCTTTCGGGGCGCCTTGGGGGCCTCTGGGACTGTCTTGGGGCCATCGTGGGCCGTCTCGGCGCGCTGTCGGGAGCTCGTTTTGGACCGTCATGACGCCCTCTTGTGAGCCTCTTGGCCTGTCTTGGGAGCATCTGGCTTCGGGAAGAGTCACGCGGGGAATTCCAGGAACGTCCAGGAATTCCGATAAAGTGGAGGTCGGGGTTCCGTCACATTTTTCAGCAGGCAGGTGGCCGCGTTCAGCGCAAACGGGCTTCAGCCAGAGCGCCGGGTCTTGCAGGATCCTGCAGAGCTTGATTCGGGTTGAGCCAGGTTCGGGAGCCGCTCGCGGCTCTGGATGGTTGGCTTGGGAAGTCCCCCAGAAAACTGCAGCACTGCTTGTCTCGTTGGTTGACCCGGGTTTGCACTGAGCCCGTTGAGTCCACGCCCGAAGATTCTCACCATATTTGGCAGCGTCGTCATATGAGTGAGCCTTGGGGCACTCCGCATCGTGCTGACGGCTCCTCGGCGAAATTCAGCATGCCCAGTGTCCCTCGGTCTCTTTCTCTCTCACCTCATCTATCGTACTTGTTCTCGCTCCCCCGTGCACCTGCTGCTGATTGTACTCTGCCTCATCTCTCGCTCTCTCTCTCTCTCTCTCTCTCTTTTTTTGCTCGCTCCCCCTTTGTCGTTTGTAGCCCCTGCGTGCTGCCGCCGACGATGGTATGAGGAGCACAGAGGATTGGGAGGGAGGTAGGAGAAGGAGGAGGAGGAGGAGGAGGATACCCTCACCATGCTGACGCTTCTGCGTTGCTTCTGCGTTGTTCTCCGTTCCCTCCTCCTCGATTGCTCCGCTCTGGACCTCTGCCCTCCCAAACAGCAGCTTTACGCGGAATGAGTGCTCTCGGCACGTGCGCAGAAGGCCCTCCCCATCTCTGGCGCACCCCCATCCCCAGGTTTCATTCTGCCATCGTCTTCGGGCACGAGGACGACCAGCCAGACAGGGTCTACATTTTGGGCTTGTCGGGCAGCCCGCCATCCGTGCTTTTTCACTCCTTGCCCATCGTCGTGTCCCCCCCCCTCTGCTCTACCTCGCGCCTGTTCTTCCTCGCACATATTACTCCTATCTCCCCTCCTGTCTGCTCTTACCTTGTCATCTTCGCCAACACCGCCCTCCTGCTGCTATTTCTCTCTCCCTCTGCTCGTCCTCCCATTGTCTGGACGACTCGGGAGGTCTTGTCTGCAGTGTGTGGAAGTTCGGTGTCCAAAGCCACGACCACTGCTTGGCTTAGCAGCACGTGCTTTCAACCTCATATGTATGACTGGTCCATCTTATATAAGCCCCCCCCCCAGCCTGGTGGACCAAGATCGTGTTATACAATACCCATCTCATCTCAAGTTTTGGTCTTGTCAGGCGTGTGGATGTTTTGCATCATCCGTGTTGCGTGAATAGGGCAAGGAGTGTACCCATCGTATCACCCCGACCAGTGCAGAGTATCTCAGCAGGATCTCACGGTGCCTGGAGCCCAAAGCTTTAGTGCAGTTGAGAAGCGTCAGCGCGGTAAAGTTTAATCAATTTCGTGTCTCTATGTGTTCTCTCACGCTGATTGGCGATCATTGATTTTGCCACATATTCCTACTCATATTCGTACGAGTCCTCCCTCCTTTTCCGTCCACGTCCGCGTCTCCGTCCTCCCCATATCCCCCTCCGTTTCCTGCTCCACCCCCATTGACAGGTGTCCCCCTCCTACGTCTCCGGAGGTCCTCGGAGGCCTCCAGAGGTCTCTGGAGGTCCCCAAAGGCTTCGCGGAGGCCCTCACAACAGAAAAAGCATGTTCCAATCATTGAGATCCGCGATCTTTCTCCTGTCTTCTCAGGTGTGTGTTTGACTCGCGTGGGCCACAAGAGCACGTCCCCTGGCAGTTCTCTTGGGGCGCGGCAGGTTGGGACCCCCCAGGTGTCCACCCGTTCCGGAGGGTCCCAGCGCGACGGTGGTGCGCCGACGGATGTCGACGGCGGCCCCCGGTGGGATCGCGGCGAACGGCAAGGATCGAGGATCGAACGCTGAGATGTCCTAGCGATTGGATGTAAGCTCAAAGGAGAAACAAAGACCACCACCACCGAGAATCCGAGGAAAAGGTACCGATACCGCTACTCCTCTCTCGTTTTCCCCTTTTTGGGCCGCCTGGTAGGCCCTCGTCTCCACCGCTGGATTCGCCTCGAAACTCTAGCCAGAACGCACCCGGGGAGAGGTCCGTGGAGCAGCGGTGTCGTTTTGATTTGGTTCCCCCGGGGAACTTATCTGGGGGGGTCCGTCCCCTGGGCGATGGAACGACCGAGCGCCACCCGAGTACAGTGAGCGGCTTGAGCCAGGGACACTTACTTTTCAAAAAGGGGCTCGGTCGTTCCTCGGGTTCGCATGCGTTATGTATCGCTCCTTACGCGTGATGTATTATGCACTGTTCCCTACGCGTTATTCCTTGGAAAAGAAAGGGGCGTCGTTCCTTATGTATCGTTCCTTAGGTCGGGCTGATAACTGTGCAAGACGCTCAGGCGAGCCACCGCCTTGGGGTCGGCCTCCCACCGACGGGTTGTCGGTGGCGGTGGTCCGTGAGTCTGCTCGGGTAAGCTGTGCTGCGGCCTGCAGCGGCCTCTAGATCCAGGGCCTCCCTGTCCTGTTCTGCTCCAGCGTCGGGCCTGCGCGGGCTTCGGGGGCCTCTGGAGACGCCGACGGCTCAGGAGACCTCCTTCACTCGTTCGACTCTCCTCGCCCGCTACAGGTGTGGTCTACGAAAGGCAGATGGAGAGTCGGCCACCGCTTTCATGTTTCCAAAAAGTGTACGCTTCCAGCGTTTGGCAGCTTGCAAAGCATCCGACTACGCGAGTCGATTGGTATGCTGGCGAGCTCATAGCTTCGTATGGGGAAGAGTTGGCGGGAATGTACTTGTAGTTCCTACCAGGGTTAGGATGGAAATTCGAGGGTTGCCGAAGCCAGGGCCCGTCGTGGCTCGCAAGTCAGCCGCTCGACTTGTGACAATCGAGCGCATGGCTGTGCAAGCTGTGCGCACTTATTTCTCCCTAGGGCAAGGAGGCAGGGCCAGCATAGCGGCCAGTCGCGGGCTCGCTGCTTTCAGCATGATTTGTGGTGCATAGTTCATGTGGCCCACGGCGCGTTCACGAGAGACGGACTTCTGAAGCGTCCGAGCCGCTTGACTAATAACGACAAGCCTTGCGCCCTCGGGGGAGAGCGGGGCGTCATTGTGCTGAGCAGGCGTCCTTGCGACACCAGGGTGTAAATCGCCCAAGGGCGTGCCCACCCAGCCCGCCTGAAAGAAGGGCCCGTTGTCTTTCTGCGACTTACGAGTGGAAAGTACGTACGCACTGCGCCCACCAAAGAAGTTGTACGAGGGGACACCGATGGAAAGTGAATTCTTTACGCTTCGCGTATCCCCACCAGCCCATCTCACAACAGCAACTCTTGCGAAGCATGCCGGCAGTCGTGTTTTTCAGGCGTGTGTCCGCTTGCCCCCGCATATCTCCCCTGCTTCTCCTTCCTCCCGCCTCCTTGTACATCCTCCTTCCTCCTTGTGGGGGGAGCGGGAGAAGGACGAGGCGGAGGAGGAGGGAGAGAAAGCGCTCCTCGTGGTTTGAGTCGTTTGGGGTTTCTCGTCCTGGTGTGAGTCGTTCGGGCCCTTCTTCCTGGTGTGAGTCGTTCGGGCTCTTCGTGGTGTGAGTCGTTCGGGCTCTTCGTCCTGGTGTGAGTCGTTCGGGCTTCTCGTGGTGTGAGTTGTTCGGGCCCCTCGTCCTGGTGTGAGTCGTTCGGGCCCCTCCTCCTGGTGTGACTCGTTCGGGCTCCTCGTGGTGTGAGTCGTTCGGGGCCCTCGTCGTGGTGTGAGTCGTTCGGGCTCCTCGTGGTGTGAGTCGTTCGGGCGCCTCGTCCTGGTGTGAGTCGTTCGGGCCCCTCCTTCTGGTGTGAGTCGTTCGGGCTCTTCGTGGTGTGAGTCGTTCGGGCCCCTCGTCCTGGTGTGAGTCGTTCGGGCTCCTCGTGGCGTGAGGCGTTCGGGCACCTCGTCCCCTTTTGGGGCGTCTTGGGGGCTTCTTGGCGGCCCCAGGGGCTTCTAGGAGCGTCTTGGGTGCCTTGGGGGAGCCTCTTCGGGCCTCTTGGGAGCCTCTTGGAGGCCGTTTGGGGCGTCTTGGGGGCCTTTTGGCGGCCCCAGGTGCTTCCAGGAGCGTCTTGGGTGCCTCGGGGGAGCCTCTTGGGGCCTCTTGGGGGCCTCTTGGGGGCATCTTGGGGGCCTCTTGGAGGCCTCCTGGGGACCTCTTGGGGCCATCTTGGGGCCTCTTGGTGCCTTCTGGGCGCTTCTTGGGGCCATCTTGGAGGGAATGGATCAAAGAAGAGGGGAGCTTTAATGCGCGCTGCCCCCTCAGAAGGACAACATGAGCCCAAAACCTTCGTAAAATCAATGGTTTTGCCTTGAAGGAAGAGGGGAACTTTAATGAGCGCTGCCCCCTCAGAAGGCCAACATGGGGCCAAAATCGTAGTAAAATCAATGATTTTGGCTTGGAGAGGGTTTTTTCTTCCTCCCCCCGTCGGGGCCAGAATCCTCGTGAGGGGTGTCGTTTTTTAGCCCTCCCAGGAGTCGAACATGACCCCCTGACGACCCGCGGAGGGACCTCTCCAGGCCCAGGGGAGGGGGGAGGGGGAGGGGTAAACCCCTCCCCGAAGGGGAAGAAGGGGGGTTGAGAACAGAGCGGGCTCTCTAAACCACACGCCCAAAGGGCTGGTGGGATTGCAGGTAGGAGATGCCACTCTTTTTGGACCTCCCAGAAGCTAACGAGAGTGGCGACTGCTGCGCAGTGGGCAGCACCCAAGGAGGGGAGAGCTGTCCTGGATCCACGAAGCACCGCACGCCAGGGAGGGGAGGTCTGGTCTGGATCCGCTCAGGGCCGCAGCCTGCTGGAGTCCCGAAGCGTTCCCAAGAGTGGTGGCACATCATTTCTCAGTCGGCAGCGCCCAGAGAGGGGAGTCTTAGTACGAATCCGTTTGACAAAACGAGGCCTCACTCTGCCAGACCTCCCATGAGCTCACGAGCGTGGCAGCGGTGGCGCAAGTGGCAGCGCGAAAGGAGCGGAGATTCGGTCTGGGTCCGTTTCAGACCGCACTCCGCTGGAGTGCCCAGGAATTCAAGGGGCAATTGTTGCGAGGTTGGCACCGCCCAAAGAAGGGAGGCCGATCATTTTTTCAGACCGCACTCCGCTGAACTCCCAGGGAGCTCGCGAGAGTGGCGGCGAGTGCGCATATGGCAGCAGCGAGGGGGGCGAGGTCCACCAGATCGTACGACCGCACTCCGCTGGACTCTCTGGGAGTTCACGCAAGTGGCGACCTTTGCGCAGAAGGCAACACCCCTCAGAGAGGTTAGGTCCTCTGTGGTCCGCGTAAGACCCCTCCCCGCTTGACTTCTCACAAGCTCACAAACGTGGTGAGCATCACGCGGTTGGCAGCATCCAGGGAGGCGAGGTCCAGTTCGGATTTGGGCAAGACCGATCTCCGCTGGAACTCCCAGGAGCTCACCGAGTTGGCGACGGCTGCGTAGCTGCTAGCGCCCAGGAAGTGGGGCCTGGTCTGGATTCACGAAGCGCCTCTCTTCAGTTCAAGACCCCTTTCCCCCGAGGACCCGCTCACTGCATGGCCACGATTTCCACCCCGCCTCCCTCTTGCTCCCCCCCCCTGCGCCCCTGAGGCCGGTCCCGCGTGCTGGCCCGCGCCCCCCTCGCGGAGCTGCTCCGCCACGACTGGAGCGGCCCGGCCCCGCCCCCGCGCCTTGTCTGGACGCAGCAAAGAGCCACAGCCACATCCAAGTGGTTTTTGTCGGGAGGGCCCCCTCGGGAAAAGACCCACCGACTTCGGCATGAGCATCTGATTGTGGTTGCGGTCGATCTGGTCCTCCCGGGCGCCCATAGCGACCACAACCAGATTTAGATTGGTTTCGGTGTTCTGACGAGTGTTGTTGGCATGCGCGAGACATCCCCCAGGGTGTGTCCTCGATGTGGTTGTGGTCGCTCGCTGTCCCCGCGCCCTGCTCCTCGGCGCCACCGAGACGGATATCCAGGCAGCGGGTGCGTCGGCAGCGCGCAGGCACCCGGACCTCCTCGCGCTGCCGAGAACACACGACGGACAGCTTGCAGGAAAGCGGCAGGAGAGCGCCTCGAGCGCGCGGGACGGGACGGCGCAGCGAAGGGGCAGGCGAGCGCCGTCGGCCTCCACACCGGTCCAGAGTCCCCGTCCGTTGAGAGTCCACCAGGCGGCCGTTGGGGCTTTGTTCTTGTGGGGGGGAGCCAGCCCCACTGCAGTCGCGGGAGTGCCATTTGGAGCCCGAGGTTTATGATGTTCCAACCTAACTTCGAGCACCAAGAAAGTACCGAAATTGGAAGGTTTTCACGTGTCGGGCCCCGGGAGGCGATACTCGTTCGACACTGTTTCGATACTTGTCTGGGTGCTCGATTGATTTTTGGATGTGGTCCTTATTTTGTAATGGAAACAACATAACCCGAGGTTGGAAGTTTTGCGACGTTGTCGCACGGTAGGATCGTGCCGTGTCGACTCGTCGGCGACCCCGCCGCGGGCGTTCAAGGTTGAACGCCGCCAGTGGCACAGAGTCGGCCTTTACAGAACAATCTGGCGATTGAAAAGCCACCGACCGTTCAAGATTGTACGATCCACGCGGTGTCAGAAGCCAACGCTGGGGCCGTCATGACACGAATTTGCCGTAGGTTCTTCCAGTCTCGGGGATGCTTTCCAGTAGTTGCGCCTCGCCGAGAGCGTTCTGGAGGTGCCCGAATCGTCCCGAACGGCCACCAGAGATTCAATTTTTGGTACGGAAATCAGACCCGTCCCGCAGGGAAGCCAAGCTGCTGCATTCTTCCTTGACGAGCTGGAGTTCGTTTTCTGGCGAGTTGAGTTGTTTCCGGGCTGCGCAAAGGAAAGGGCTTAGCTTGGTGCGACTTTCCCACAGAGTCGCGCAAGTCGATGTCCCAGGTCGCCACTGACTACTTGATGGCTCGCAACTCAGAGTCGCGAGGTTTTGATCTGTTCCGTATGCTTTGTATAAAGGTGCTCGCGCTTCGCAGCTCGGTTCCGCGAGAATTGCTTTGCGGAAGAGCCCAGTTTCGATGCTCTTTTTGGGGACCTTCCTGGGGCCCACCTAACGGATCTGTTCGACTCCAGTTCGATCCCAGTTCGACTCAAGTTCGACTCAAGTTCGACTCAAGTTCGACTCAGGTTCGACTCAAGTTCGACTCAGGTTCGACTCAGGTTCGACTCAGGTTCGACTCAAAGTCGGCTCCGGCTCTCATCGACGGTTGTTCGATGCAGCTTCGACGCACGAGTGGAGCGAGTGTCTCCAGGAAGGTCCCCAGAATGAGCATTCGGAGGTTGATAGACCTCCTACCCTGACACGTCGATTAGTGAATTGGCCGTTTTCGGTTCGCGAGAGGCGTTGCGGCCGTTATTTTTGCGGGTCCACGTCCGTCGGTTTCGGTCCCAGGCCGTTTTCACTAAAGGGAGGTTCACTAAAGGGAGGTTTACTGAGGGAGGCAGAGGCAGTGCGTCGCCCCGTCGCCACCTCTCGTGGCGCCAGCATCGCAGAGCGGATTACGCTCGGGAGGTTTGTCCACCGCCGAAGCGTCCAACCCAGTGGTGCCCGGGAGGGCGCCAGTCACGGCAGCCGTTCCGCAACAGAAGCCTGCTCGCAGTCAGGCGCGGCAGGGCACGGAGGGCACGGGAGGCGGGAGGCGCAGGGCGCCGGGGCCCCCATCGCAGCGCTTCGCAGGGGTGCTCGGCGAGGGCTCGGCGATGTCCGAGTGCTCGGTGCAGCTGTGGAGCGAGCAGCGCCGAGACAGCAAAACCGCCCTGGCTCTCGGTCTGGGGCAGGATCTGCAGCCAGGCGTCCGGGACTGCAGCGCACGTGTGAGAAGGAGGGGCGATGGTTTCAGGCATCGTCATCATCTCGAGAGTTGCGGGAGGCAAGGTTGGAGGTGGATGGAGTCGTCTATAGTATCGGGGCCCGCACTTGCGTGAAAGGCGCGCAGTGGCAGCACGCTCTCGGTCCTCTGGGCTGACTTGGACCGCGCGATTGCTCCACCAGAGCGCCTTCCCACACCTCCGGCCTGTCCTCACCACGGGCTTCCTGTCTACAGTGTCTGGCTTCTTGGTCCGTTTCGCGAGTTTCGCGTGGATTTGACTGTTTCTGGCAGCTCGGATCGTAATCAGCTGGATCACTTCCAGCGAAATGACTTAGAAATTTTCGGCTCAGAATTCATGAACAGCGAGACAACACGTATTTGAGTTTGTGTTCTCTTCGAGTAGCAGTCTCGGGAGTGCGCGGCAGAGGAGCGCGGCACTGAGGTCGTTCCCTGACGTCTCGTTGTTTCGACTTTGGCGCGCTGAAAAGTGTTAGACGATGGCAGGAGGCAAATGTGCTGTTGGGGGAGATGGAGAGACAGAATCTGCAACCAAGCGTCCGGGACTACTGTGCTGCGGCAAGTAAGTGTCAAAAGGATGGGCGATGGTTTCAGGCATTGTCAATATTTAGAGAGTTGCGGGAGGCAAGATTGGAGGCGGATGAAGTCGTCTATATTATTGGGGCCAGCGCTTGCGTGAAAGGCACGCAGTGGCAGCACGCACTGGCATTGTTCGGCGAGCTGCGGGAGGTGGGGTTGGAGCCATCTGTCCCCTCCTGCAATGTTCAAGTTAGCGCGTGCGAGAAGGGCGGGCAGTGGCAGTTGGCGTTGACAGCGGTCGGTGAGTTCCAGGCTGCAAGCGTGGAGCCCAACGTGATCAGCTACAGCGCTGCAGTCAGCGCGTGCGAGAAAGGGGCGCAATGGCTGCACGCTCTGTCGCTTTTCGGCGAGGCGTCGAAAACCACGGTGAAGCCAGACACCGTCACCTACGGGGCAAGCATCAGCGCATGTGAAAAATGTGGGCAGTGGCAGCATGCGCTGTCGTTGCTCCGGAACATGTTAAAAGGGAGGTTGCAGCCACATTGTATCATAGCTACTATCAACTCATGTCAAAGGCGTCCATTGCGAGGAAGGCCTGGTGCACACAAATCTAGAGGAGGTGGAGCAGAAGCCAGAGCTGGATGAGCAATGGGAGGGTTTCTAGGTGGAGTGGCAGGAGGACAAGGAGGAGGGGGAGGAGGAGGAGGAGGAGGAGGAAGAGGAGGAGGAGGAGACGGATCATGGCAGGAGGATGAGCAGGAGAGCAGGAAGAGGATCAGGCGGAGGAGGAGCAAGCGGAGGAGAGAGGATTCGCTTTCTCACACGGCCCTCGAGTGGCTTGAGTGGGGGTATGGTGACAGACGAGGCACGCCCTGCGCTGGCGCGTTTCTGTTGACAGCCAAGGCATCAGCAGGCTGCCCGCGGGTTGCTTCCCCACGGCTCCGCCGTCGGGTGCCAACGGCCTGGGACGGCCTGGGAGCTTCCGCCTGGCCTCGACTCCTCGCCGCTCGGGGCCCGCCCACCGCTCGGGCGAGGTCCGCGGCCTGGCCCTCGAGGCCTCGCATCCTCGCCGCCCAGCTCCGCACCGAGCTGCCAGGTGGGGCTTCTCTGGGAGGCGCTCGTGCGAGCTCTGGGGCCTCGTCCTCGAGACCTCGAGTGACCTCGCCCCGGACCCTGTGAGCGCGCGCTCCCCGCACAGCTCGGAGCTCTCTGCGCGCGCTCCGGCGCCGTTGGGGATCCCCGATGAGGCTGCCGGGGTTCAGGCACGCTGCAGTCGACGCGCCCAGTGAGGACGCGCGCCTCCATCCAGGGTAGCCTTGTGTCCTCGCCTCTGCGGCCCGTCTTTTGCCATTTGCACTGGTCGCCCGCCGCCCAAGAAGGCCCAATTTCGGCCTCCAAAGGTCCGTGACTGTACAGGGGAGCGTGTTCTCTGATGCCGTCCTCCTTCTGCTGCCTCGGGTTCCTCTCGGCCCTTGGCGCCCTGCCCCCTCCCCCCGCGTGACGGGTTGAGGCGATTGGATTACGTGAATTTCTGACGGGGTGTACAGTGGAGACCCATGCCAAGAAACACCCTGCTTGCCTCCAGGGTGCCCTGGGTTTCTTGGGTTTCGATGGTTTTGCCATGGAAAGCGTGACGTTCCCACATCAAAAACCGATGGACGTCCTGGGGTTTCAGGGTTGGGTGTTTGATTGAAGGTTTCTTGTGGACCGGCCTCCACTGTACGTCTACGTCTGACCAGGTGTGTGACTGCACCCAACACTTTGCAGCTACATTGCCGTGACAAAAGTATTATGCGGTCTTCATTCAACATGACTCAAGACTGGCGGAGTGAACGGAGTGGACGGAGTAGAAATTACTCCGCGTGGACACGCATCCCGTCCCGCTTTTCATACAGGAATGGGCGGAGTAATTTCCGATCCTGTTTTGAGATAACAATGTTATTAATTAGAGGTCGACGAATTACTCCGCGGGATCGCGGAGGACGCATGTCAACGTTAGGAATCTTCAGAGGGATAGGAGATTCCACCATATCATAAAACCGCATAATCTTTTGTCACGGCGGTGTATCTGTTCTAGCTTCGCTGCCCCGCGCGTCGATTCTCGTCGCCACTCTCCAACACCAACGACTAGGTTTTAGGGCCAGGTCCTATCGGCCACCACGTTCGTACTTGGCCCCCGCACTTTTTGGGCGCACTTCGCTTCAGCATTTTTAGCCGTGGCAGCGCACTTCGCCATGTAGCGGTTGCCTTCCATGCTGCCCCACTTGTGTCCTTCACTCTTTTTTCCCGTCCTCCCTCAAGG